TGATGCTGAAGGAAGCTAAGGCACTCATATAAATAGTAATTTAATATTTATGCAACAAAACAAAAAGCAAAGCATTATTTAAAATTTTACGTCAATAATAATTCAACACATACATTGTTAATACACATTTTAAACATTATGAGAGAGTTATACAAACCATTTTCCAGAGCATAAAAATCCACAGCTTAGGTGCTATGATGAAAAGGCTTGTCCTCTAATATTTCCATCATTTGGGCATCTGATACTAGTTGAATATAAATCAGAAATTTTTCTGACGATTGTAAGAGACAAAATAAGTTATGAATGAAAGTGAATGTAAATGTCTCTGGATAATGTTGCAGGATCGACAAAATAAGTTATTCAAGCCTGTGCAATTCTCATTTGTAGAATTCAAATGCTTGCTAGGATCTTTTTTAAGATATGAACTTTGGATCCAACAGCTGATCTTTTCTGCTTTGGACATGATGTTGTAGCTGGCTAATACCCTTTAAATTCATTATCTATTATTTCATTTATTTTGTTCATCATCATTTGGACTTAATCTTTTATTATGAAAATTTGGTAAGAAACATACATCCAGATTGCTTTTCTCATATACTTCTCACCTGACAAATGATCAGGTTATCAAAGATTTATGTCCACTTAACTCTTTTCCTGCTACTCCCAGAATGTCAGGAGGTACAGAAAATGGAAAGGTCCTGAAATACCCACAAAAGAGGAATAGTTGGTGAAGTGATAGAATTTGAATAGATGCCAAAGTTGGCTTGCTTGATAAGGAAAAGGCCACTATATTTGTCAGTGACTGGAAATCCTTAATGAAATGTTAGCTGAAATGGGAAAAAATGAACTTGTGATTTATGGGTTTGATGATTAGAAAGGGTAGAATACTGAAGAAGGAGCCACAATGTATTGTAACTATAGAAATAGAGGATATAAAATATAAACACCTTTATAACTACTGTAAAGAAGATTGGAAGCCGCCTTTTTTTAACTCCTTTTCTTTTTCTTCTTTTTTTCTTTCCTTTCTTACTTATTCACATTACTTTTCTTTTGTTTTTTTAAGTTTGCATTGCTTTTACTCCGTAAAAAAAATCTCTTCATAAACACTAATTTTAAAAAATGATGTCAGGAGTTATTAGTAAAGTCTGAGGGATGGAATCTAAGGACAACCTAAATGCATATTAGTTTAGGACAATACCCAGTAAGAGAATCAATAAAATTAGATAGCCTAGATGGATGCAGATAGATCTGATTTTCAATTTCTCCTTCCTAGTTACCATGAGGTTTTCAAGAATAAATGTTACAACAACTCAGTATTGAGGAACAGACTTTATTTGGTAACATATGTGTTCACTATCAGAGTTCTGTTTGGGAAGAAAAACTATAGTATTGTGGCCTCCATAGCACACTTCTGTTTCAGCTGCTAATGTAAGTATTTCTATAAATTTATTCCTGGGCTATCAACTTTCTCAACAGAAAGTTTTGCTGGGAGTGTACAGAATTGGGCTTTTAAAATCCCACCATTGTAGGAATCAAAATAAAGCACTTCTCATAGATAATACTCAGCTTGTGCTTGAAAATTTCTAAAGAATGAGTATACCATTAATATTTGGTTTCTGTTTTGAATTTCTCTATTCAGATTTTCTTAATATTCAACTGAGAAGAGATTATTTACTCTTTTGGCTAACAACATTGATGCAAAACCAATTCTTCATATAATACGTCCCCCAATTTTGAAATGGATCCATTGGCAACTTTGAATATAATTCTTGAGCCATCAATCTAATAGACATGACTTGAAACTCCTATTTAATTTAACTGCTGATCGGAACATTATCTAAACAATTTTAAATTGAAATAGTTTATCTTGTAATACATATACATTCTTTACTTTAGGATATTTCAAAAGTAATACAAATGCGGACAGATAATCAACAAGTTTATTCAACATTCTAAGATGTAATTCATCTTGTTCCAAGGATTTGAATTCATTCAAGATTCATTCATTCAAGGTTCATTCAAATCTCTCTTGACTATTTGTATACTAATCTTAAATTTCAATCCTGAGCTTCAAGGAGCTATTTGCATTGCCACTGTAAATCATATATTCTCTTTTTGAGAAGTTTGAACCAAGGTAGTAGTTGTTCTTACCAGTCAGCATCCACTTTCCCATGCAATTTTTGATTTGTACAGTCTCTGTGATACATTTTCTCTTACACACCTTCCTTCTTTTTTAAGATCACTTTTTGTTTTTCCAAAAATTTGAAAATACATCAACCATAGTAAGTTTTGGCTTTCACCTAATAATTCTCGCTTTGCCTTTAATCTGTTTCTGGAGTCTGAGTGTACCATATCTGCATACATAATTATACTTTTCTTGCAATAATGTTCTCCATAATACAAATCATTTGGAAGTGAAGCTAGAGGTGAGGTTGCTGAACTTATTCTTTTTATAGAATTCCATGCTTTTATCAAGCTTTGTCTAATAATATGTTCTTTCAAATTTTTATATTCTTTGCAATCATACTAGAAGTTTCTGGGAAGCCCATTAGCTGGGTCAGCTCCTTCTCCTACTGACATTTTGATATTTAGGGATTTTATCTATTGTTATCCATGATGAACAACTTACATTGGTAATATGATATAAAATTCAGAAGACCTAGTTCAACACTAGTTTTTGAATCTCATAAAATTTATTCTACATTTTTTCACTCCAAATAAATTTACTGACTATCTGCCCATCTTGCAAGATTTTTTCTGGAATTGAAATTGGCATCATTTCAAATAAATAAAAAAAACCCTTAGGTAATATATTGATATTAACAATCACAATTAATCCTAACAAGTAAAAATTGGTTTTTTTCTATCTTTGAAAATATTTTTAAATTTTTCTCCACAATCTGAGGTAATTTTTAAATATATCTTTGTTACCACCAATCAGGAACAATCCCAAATATTTTACTGGACTTTGTCTGGCATCCCAACCCTTTCTGCACCAAGTTTTTTCCTTTTAGGGGATTTTTTTTATGTCAATTTTCTATCCTGAAAATTCACTAAAATCTCTAATTGTTTTCATCAACTGTCTTTTTGCACTCTGTAGTTGCACAATAGTTAGCTTTAAATCATCCACATAATACTTTAATTTCTGCTTTTCTTAACATCTTTCATCAAATTCAGCTTATTATTTGGAGTTCCTGACATCATCTCTTCAATTTCAGCCTATTTGTCTATATTGCTCCCGAGTCACTTGCCTTTCCTTATCTTGTATATTTGTTTTGAATTTATATTGCCATGAAAAAGCTTGTGTAACTTTGTCCTGGCTTCTCAAATTATCTTTTTAATGTTGTAATTGTTTGTGACTGAGCTCTAAGTATCTTCTTTTTTAGACACCAGCACCTATGTTGAATTTCTTTTCCTATTCAGATTTTCCTGCCATGAAATCTTATATATTTCTGTCTTTCTATTTCTTCAAAATGAAAAGTTACAATTTTGACACTGTTGTTAGATAACTCTCAATTTGCACCTTCTAAATTATATGCAAATATACTGTGTGGGAAAGGAAATAAGCACACACTATTTTAATATGGTACCAGATATTTACCATGTATGTATCCCAGAGTTTGGCAATGTAATGTTTCAGTTTTTAGCAGCATAGGTTTAGCGTATATTTAACAGAAAACTGATACTTTGGCATCCATCACTGTGTAGTCTTATATATCTATTCAACACATACCATAAACATATATAAAACATTCTTATAAAGGTGACAATAATTTTCCATTTAACCTCAATAGTAGAAGGCAGGTTTTTAGCAATAAAATTGCAACAAGCAAATAACTTTTACAATCTTAACACATTTTGCCAATATTACATAGCTTGAGTCATAGAAATGCGTTGTCATTTGAATCGGACACACACATATCATACATACATGTATTTTTTAAAGCCAGAAAACCCCAAAGCACAATGGATATGCTTCCATGTTGACTGAAGATAATAATCAAAAGGTCTTTATGGGAATCCACATTTTCCTTTAACAAACAGCATAGCTCCAAAAACAATTGGCACAATACAGAAACATTTAGAATCAGTCACATGTTCATATTATTATACATTTTGTTTAAATTATGATTAGTCCCACTATAAAAATAATTGGGAGACTTTTTTGTAAATAACTCACCATGTAGTCAAGTTATCTGAAATATTGTTTCAATCAGTAGTTATGGAGAAGCTTTTTAAAAACCACTGGACAAACTCTATAAGAAAGAGCTTTTGACCTCATTGGAATCCATAGTAATTGTTGTGCAGCTCATAAACTTTGCTGTGTTATCTCAGAACTATGCAAAATTACACTTTACAATCATATTATTACTACACAAGTAACCATACCAAGCTATAGATGTGGATGTGAACTGAGTCTGCATTTAAATTGCAGTTCAGCAAATAATGAATGTGCAAAGCTTGACAGTCAACTTAGAATTACAAAAATTGAGCTATAGGATTAGTTCACCTGTCCGTGAACTTTGGGTTCTTCTAATCCTATAGCTCAATTTTTCTATAGTGTTGAATTGACTTAGCATTACTTTCCAAGCCAGAATTCCTGTGCATTCACATCCATATATGGAGTTCCAAATGCTTCATATTCTTGTTCACGAGTAGAATGCATTTCCCCATCTACTGTATACCACTTTATATGAAGAGCTTGACTGTTTCACTGAATTGGAGAGAGAAACCTTTTCAAATGAGAAACCATATATGTATTTATAAGATTTGCCTTGAGTGTTTTTTTTACGATGCACCCTGTCAGCTCAAATATGGGAAGAATAAATCTTTTATAAGATTTATAAATTTATAAGATTCAAGAGTTAATTAAATTATTTTATTTTCATAGATTTAGACCTGGATCCAGGTAGATAACTATAGAAATCTGGATCCAAAAGACATGGGACTTATATTTTCACTTTCTCATTGTAATTGTTTGTTTTTGTCAAGACCTGTTAATTATGGTAGCTGATTTTAATACAGACTCTGCTATTCAAAAATTATTCTAATTACCTGTCTTTGTTTTAAAAGATTCACATTTTTTGCTGAAACAATTATGTATTAAATATACATTCTTATATAAATTATAATTCCTATTCAGGCTGAAGGGATAGAATCTTTGACAAGTTGTAACAGTTGCCCAATGGATTTAATTACTTTTACTGTGGGGATTAGGGATTTGAATATTGCCACTAAACATCTAAACAAAGAGAGGTAGATGTTTTACATATTCTTCTCTCTCTTTAAAATGCTATAATACTATTCATGTCTCATTGTACAATTTATAACATTCAAAGAGGAATATGACCCAAAACTATTTCATGCAAATGTTTGTAAAACTGTGGATATAAAATATGAAATGCTAGTGTTTGATATAAGCTTTATATGTAGCTCTCACTACAGCAATTTTAAATATTTAAATAATCATTCTATTCCAATATGCTCTTTATAAATGACCTTTCCCCTTACAAGTCACATCTAGCCCCAATTAAAAAAAAAAGATGAATTCAAATTCAGTCATTGTTCATAAGTCAAGCTGACATCAGGAACATTTTTGCCTTCCCAAAAACAATTTCAATCATTTATCATGGGCTACAGATATATGCATTCCCTTTGTATTCATTCAGTTAGTAGATAATTTTGCAAAGTGAACAGTGCTAACTTCAGTATATTGCAGATCTACAATTTAACTTGAAAAAGTACTGGAAAAATATTTAAGAAGGCATAATGTTACTCTGCAAGAATGTGAACCAAATACATTTATGGATCTGTTCAATCACCAATTATTAAGGTCCTATGTCCTGCCATTATTGAGCAGAAGTGCAGGACCAAATGTCCTAATAACACTCAAAATGCTCCTTTGAATTATTCCAATTACAGAAATGTTCAACATTGTGACCGCTTCCTTCATATCATAAATCGTAGAAATGTTGCTTCTTTTGCTTCCAAACACACAAAACAACAACTTTACAAATAAAGACCTGCAACTAATATACACTCTCTGGCCAAGATTATTGTGTTTCAGCTACTTCATTTTAACTTAAGGCAGCTTTGTATTACCCTGCCAATATAATTTTTCTTCCATTTTTTTCTTCTTCCATTGACAGAAGAGCAACAACTTAAAGGTTTTTCTGAATGTTTTGTTACACAAGGCATAACAAATTGGGTTCACAGTACTATTTACATAGCACAACCAATAGCCAAGATGCCACAGTGTTGGAGGAATGCAATCTGAACAGAATGTGGAAACCAATACCATTATGTTGTAGGGGGTCCAGGTAATTATAAAAGCTAGAAGAATGGCACTTAGAGTCTGGGCTGCTTTACGTTCTTTTATAAGAACCATTCTTTTCCTTTTAGTAATTTGATTACTTAGATTAGGATCCATATTTTTGATGGAAGCGTCTTTGGATAAACTGGCAGAACAAGGAGTGATTTTGACTTTTCGGCAGCCATTGTTAGTTTCTGGTGCACCACCAGCTTTAACCACCAACCGGAATTTATAAGCTACACATTTATTACTTTTTTGCACCTGACTTTTGGTTGGGGTTAAAAAATATTTCTGGGTGTCATAGTCATTCTCCTTATGTTGGTCTTTGATAAAAGCTTCCTTTTTCTCTACTTTTTGCTCATCAACCATCCCTTTTACAGGGGTCTTATAAGCTACTTGAAAGACTGGATCAGGAGGACATTTTTCCTCTTCTTCAGATGAGGCATAGCTGCTGCAAGTGGTCAGCTGCTCTGCCCTAGACCAATCTTGGCAGGTGTTTTGAATCTGAGATGCTTTTGCTGTGGCAGAAGTACTTCGACTGGATGAAGACCACGAAGCCTGAGATTGGTCTCTTTTGGTCAAATTTTGTTGTCTGCAGCTAAAGCAAGATTTCAGCAGTGTTTTCTGAGGCTTTATCGTTTCAAACTCAGTCACAGAGCTGGAGCCCTGAAGCTCAGCTAAGTCCTTGGTTCGTTTTTCAGTCTCTTTGTAAATGCGGCAATATAAAATAGTCATCACTGAAACTGGGATATAGAAAGCAGCAATTGCGGTACCAAAGGTAACAATAGGCTCATACAAAAATTGTATTTGACATTCTCCAGGTGGGACAGTTCGCTCCCCTACAAGATACTGCCAGCATAAGATTACAGGTGCCCACAGAATAAAAGAAATTAGCCAAGCCAAACCAATCATAATCCCAGCTCTTTTGGGTGTGCGTTTAGCCCTATAGGTTAAAGGACGTGTAATAGAAAAGTATCTGTCAAAACTGATAACTAACAAATTCATTACTGAAGCATTACTAGCTACATAATCGAGTGCTAACCATAAATCACATGCCAAAATTCCAAGAGACCAGTGCCCTATTAATATGTATGATGTATAAAGATTCATAGAAAATATTCCAATAATAAGGTCTGCACAGGCAAGACTGAGTAAATAGTAATTGTTCACTGTTTTGAGCTGGCTGTTGACTTTGAATGATATCATTACCAGAACATTTCCTACAATGGTTATCAAACTTAAAATGGCCGTTACAGTAGCAATGGTGATTACTTCCCAAAGACTATGGCCTTCATGTTGTTTTTGGCTAGAAGTTGAACCATTGGTGATGGTCAAGTTGCTGTGTAACTTGTCTTCCATTCTTTTTTTTTTTGGTGAATTAACATCAGTGTCTTTTAATTTGCTCTAGGTTCTTCATCTGTAATTTGAAGATAGCCTTTAAATGACAAACAGAGAAAAAAATTCATAAAATGAAGGGCACCTGCCAAATGAATTTAGCATTAGAAAACTATTAATCTGTTGTCCAATTTTAACTGAGGATTTCATCAAATTTCAAAGATATTTTAGATGAAGTATACATGAATTTTTTGAAGGACAGTTCAACAATGCAACTCAAGTACTCTTCCAAATCTGCTTTTCAAACTATCACATTTTGCTTAACACACCCACTTTGAATGGCTCTGCTTTCCATCTATTCTTCAGCAGCAATCCAGGTGGAAATATTATTGGGGGTTTCATTTTCATGCTCATATGATATAGGAAAGCTGCTTCAGAAAATGTTTCTCTGAATGGTTTGCAGAATCTCAAATTAAGTATCTTTGTAAGCATCAAATTAAGTATCAATCAACAGATGCAATTTATGCTCAGTGGTAGCTTTCATTCAATCAAGTCACATTACCTCGGAATATGTAGATTGCTGATTTTTACAGAACATTGTATGTAACAGAAATCAAAATTCTATAATTTGTATAGTACATTCACTAACAGTGAGAAAAAGCCCCGCTAAACAGGAATTAATAATGAAAGCCATAGTCTTTATTAATATCCAGTCAACATTGTATTATAATGACTTACTTGACAAGAAAGGCTTGAAAAACCATTTTTATAATGCTTTCTTGCCACAAGAAATAAAGAGGTAATTTATAAGGGAAGATATGAAATCAAGATTAAGATTTCAAAACACAAAATTCATGTTTAAATTCAACCATGCAAATATATGCTTCAAACAAACAAACAAACAAAGACATTGGGGACATATGCAGCAAACCTGGCTTGAACTGAATCTGAGCAACATGTCTCCTCTGCTATCAGATTGCTGTGTTTTACAAACATTAGTCTAGAGTGATGATGTTAAAGTTTTAACCACTGTTAAATGTTAGTAAGTTGTATCCCTTCTTTCCTGATGAAAAATTGATCAAAACCCTCCCTATTACTGTACATCTATAACCTTTACAAACAAAGCATCTGTCAGTGTTAAAAGTGATACACACAGCTTGTATTGTCACAGCTGGAAAAGGTAGCTTTAACTTAATCTCCATGTATATTCACTGGCTCCCAATAAAATTGATCCTTAGTGCCTACTGAATAATGAAAAAGCAACATGGTTTCTGATGGCATATTCGGATCTAGCTTGGTGTTATGCATACAAGTAAGCCAATTATATCTTATTCTTCAGTTTATTAAACAAAACTGTTTTATAACATAACTTTACTGCACTGTTTTGCTATTTAGTCATTTCATATGCAGGCTATGAAGTGCAGACCATGTTCAATTTCAGAGTTTGTCTAAAGAACAAATATTTAGGAGTATTTATACAGATTTGATTTCCATTTTGCAAGGTCTCTATGTTAGAGCTGCTTGGCAGCACACCATTATATGGGGTATGGGTGCTAGCTTTACTGAAAAGTAGCAAAAGCAACTTTAGTAGAACTAAGTAACTGAATCTTATCAAGTTCCATGATAATTTCCCACAATTTGCCAACTCAAAATTAGATTAATTGTACTATGGAAAATTGAAATGGAAACCAAATTCAGTTCCATTCTACTGCTAACATCTTCTCCCTGGAAAAAAATGTTTAAAGGCAAAAAAGGTCAGAATGTTCTAGCAATTAGCCCTACCACAATACTAGAGTTGCAACTTCTGATCACAGATGATGGTTTTAGATGCCAGCTATGCATCTGTAAGTATTAACTAAAATAATATATTGAGAGATGCACAGATGGCCTCCAGGCTGATGCTGCCCAACCACTTTGGACTAAAACACCCATTATCCCCAGCCAACAGAATGAAAGGCATGCTCCACAACCTAGAAAGAAAATTAACAACTTGAGACATATTCAGATGTGAATCTCCAGATCTGATATGCGATGATTCAGATAGCATTCTTTCTGCACTTCACTGCACTGCACATCAGAGATACTACAGTCCTATTATATTGCAAATATATTTTTGGAACTGAAATAAGTCTTCAAGGAGCCTTTAAAAACAGAAATAGAAATTGGATCTGACAAGTTAATAAAAGAAACTAAAGATGACATTTAGCGGAGAAAATACTACAAAGAGAGAATAAGGCCAAAAAGGGTGCTGGTCCAGAAAAAATTGAATTATGTTATTGTCAAAAAAGAACAATGTGAAATGTAACAGATAATGCAGTGAGAGCCAGTTTGGTGTAGTGGTTAAAGCATTGGACTAGAAACAGGGAGACTGAGTTTTAGTCCTGCCTTAGGCACAAAGTTGAGGTGGATGTCCTTGGCCTGTCACTTTCTCTCGGCTTTAAGATGGAGGAAATGGCAAATCCCTTCTGCCAAGAAAACTGTAAGGACTTGTCCAAGCAGTCTCCAAAAATTAAACATGAACAACAACAAAAAAGATAATACAATAAACTGTTACAATACAACAAAGACTAAATCACTGAGGTTGATTCGGTTCAAAAACCCCGGTAGATTAGAGAATTTGGCTCTCTGAACAGTTAAGAGAGAAGGGAGCTTATATCCAATAGCCCATACTGGCCAATTGGAGCTGGATTGAAGTTAACTTCTGAGGTCATCCCAATAGACTGGTTGGTGAAGCAAAAATGTGTTGCAACCAGAGGGAAAATATTTAACATTGACCACGTAGGCATTTTCTCTTGTATCATGTATGATTTGGGAGTATTAGGTGAAGTCAACATCCTGGAAGTGCTCAACAAAAAGGTTGCCAGGCTATCCCAAAGGTGCTTTTCAAGAGGACTTTGTTTTTTCTTTGAACACATTTCCAAGAACCTTGGATGAGAAGCGAAATGTATTAAAAAAAAAATCCCAAGAAAGTCCAGTTGCCTTTTGAAAAGCACCCTTGGGACAACCATAGCCTGGGTGATTGAGAATTTCCATAGACATCGCCAAGGTATGTTTTATGTTGTGGTTAAATGCATGTGAGAAAAATGTATGAAGGATCCCTACAGATGTATGAAATCACAAGTTTTCATAGGGAACAGCCAAGAAGGCTGTTTGAGTTATACCATCACAGCCTCATCCCTTTGTACCTGCACACATCAGTGCAAATCTAAAAGAGGTGGGGCTTTGATTTTGCAATGGCAACTTTGGAGTTTCTTTCACTTCTGTGCACACTTCTCTATTAAATATTATGTTTGTGTATTGACAAGCCCCTTCCTGGGATGCTACCGAACTGTCCATAGGACAAGGCATCTTATTTAAAAGTGAGATGTAGTTGCTGAGGAAGAGACAGAGCTATATGTTTTAACTTTGTATTGCTTCAAAATTGGTTTTATGGGTGTTTCTCCAGAACTTGATTAAGATACAGTTCTGCATTGTTGTTATGAATTACATTGTTTGAATTAATAGACTTGTGACCTCTTCTGGTACAAGTTAGTTACTTTGCTATAATGTTAGGTATTTAAAGGGGAAATGATTTAACATGCATGTTTATGATGCACCCACATCACCACCAGAGTTAATAATAACGTCCTATTATGCTTTAAGAAAATGGGATAATGCCCTTAACTATTAGAAATTTAGGCTTGGATCCATTTTATCCGCTTTTCTGTATTTCTTCTCGAAGAAAAGTAGCCGAGAGCTCCATTTGCAACAGCCCCGCAGCGGATTCCTCTTTCGGATCCGCTTCTCAAGGCAGAGAGCGCCGGAGAGTAAGTGCCTGGCGCGGGTTCAGCGACCCCATCCTTCGGGCCCGGCTGACGCGGCCTCCAGTTCCTGCAGCGGCCTGTTTTCCGGCGGAGGCGGAGATCCACGCGAATCCGCTGAAGTCCGGCCGCGTCGAGCACGGTCGCCCGAAGCATTGTAATGCAGCCCGACCGTGGCGGCCGGCCCCGAAGGGGAGGCAGCCGGCCCAACCGAAGACGGCCGGGCGGCAGGGAGAAGCCGGCGGAGAGCAGTAGCGAAGACAGCCACAGCCGAGGAGGCGGGGGACGCGGCAGGCGGGGAGTTCGCGGCAGAGTAGCCGCTTCGGGTCACTCCGCGCCTCGCGGCTGTGAGTCGGTAAGAGGAATCCGCACCGCCCTCTTTCTTCCCATGACAGGCCCGAGATGGTCGCCGGCTATTCCGGTGTTCCTCGGAAAGGAAGGCAGCGGGGCAAACGGCTCCGTTCCGGGAAGGCCCACTTCTTATTGCTGCAACTCCCGCGGGCTCTGGGCTGCAATTTTTATTACTGTTTCTCCCGAGAAAGAGGGAGGTCCTGATGCAGTAGTTTATCTAGAGCTACGTTAATGCGAGTCTTCTGGAAGGAACATAGAATGGAGATTGATTGGGTTGGAAGGGACCTTGGAGGGCTTCTAGTCCAGGGGTAGGCAACCTCGGCTCTTTTATGACTCATGGACTTCAAGTCCCTAGTCTAACCTCTTGCTCAAGCAAGAAACCCTCTCCCATTCCTGTCAAATGGCTGTCCAGTAGAACTGCAGCTTGTGTCAAAATATTTTTCTTTGGTTATATTAGGAGGGTTACTATATTGCAGCTTCCTAAAATTCTCTAGATTTTGATTCCTTAATACGTTAATTGGAAGAGTAATAGGAAGAAATAGGTTAGGCACGGAGGAGGGTGGATGGGTGGGATGGGCATGAGGCTGGAGAAATTTATGTCCCTGCTACCATTCAGATAAACAGAACCGTATTGGAAGTACGCTACATTTTACCACTGTGAAAACTATAAGTAGATTTGTTCCACTTTACGAATACAGAGTCTGAGATTTGCCCCCAAATGAATGAGATGCAATGGGGGAGGGGGCATCAAACTAATTTCTTACTACTGAATAGCAGTCTGTGTTTATATCAGGTTGTAATTCCTGTGTGTACAACATTAGCGTATTAATGTGGTATGCATCTGACATGAATTTCTGATGTATTGACATATAGTCAAATTATCCAATTACAATATGTTTTTATAGTATTTTTATTACAGATTACACAGGGAAAACTAATATAAACTCTAAAAAATGAAAAAATGAAAACAAAAACATTAGAAAAATAAAAAGGTGCAGAAAAAGAAGAAACAACACCAAAAGAAGCAAAAATATACAACATCACCATGCTTTACATTAACTTATTACCATCCCTTACAGTAGAACCAACCATCTCTGTATAAACAAATCTTTAAAGCCTCATCACTCCATTTTAAATCAGCAAAAGTCCATTAAGGGTTATCATAAATAATGACAACTATTACAAGCTATATGTAATAAACTTACTTTGAATTTTTCCTTTTACATTTATATCTCATTTTCTATTTAAACAAATCACCCTGTTTCATCTCTTAAGATAAATAAAACCTTTAAAACATCGTCATCCAGTTCTAGTCATTATAAATCTACTAAATATTACCCAAATAACAATCCACCTATTTTAACCTTGATCAAATAAACCAATTTTGTATTCTTTCCCCTTTCTCACAAGAATCTTTAGTGCTCTCAGATAAATGTCCAAGCATCTCTATTCTTTTTATGCTTTTTGTCTTTTCTCACAAAATCATTGGCAATTTTCAGAAGCCCATTTGTAAATCCATCTTTTTCTGGATAAACTATTTCATGTTTTTTCATCTCTTTCTTGTAGATGATTGTTTTTAAATTCACATTTAAAATCAGTTTCAGTTTTATTCAGTGCAACTTGTTCTTTTTCCCTGATACCATCTGGTTTATCTCTAATAGCAGATATCTTTAAAATTATTTTCTAAACCCAATAGTTATAGATCTTGTTCAACAGATCCAGTGATGTATTAATTTCCTTCTGGTGTTCTCTAGTGACCAAACTTCAAATTTTTCTTTTTTGAGATGTAAACAGTTTCCCGCAGAAAGGATTCTTATAACAAATTTTAAATAATTCTAGTCCATCTGTACCCTTAATCTATTTAAAACTTTGTGTAATTAACACTTTAATTACCCTTTTGATATATTCAAGTGATTAAGAAGTAAAATTTGAGTGAACCTTGAATCTGTAAAGACTACATTGTGGGTCTTGAGCTTGGTGAAATCTCATAACCCTCAACTGTTTGCAAGCCACTTGTGAAAACCTAGATTCCTACAGTCTACTGAAGAAAACAAACAGTTTTTTGAAGTCCATACGGGATGATCTTAAGTTCTTTCTTTTGGCAAATCAGATTTCATTCCCGTAACGTCTCCAGGTCTCCATGGGATCTCAGTCCACTGTTTTCCCACCTGAAGTATTCCCCCCCCCCCAGTGACAATGTGATGCCCGCTGCATTCACTTTTAGGTAACTAGGTTTTATTTACAGTTCTAGTGCCATCATGTTCAAATCAAAGTAAAACCAGAGAAGTCTCCCAATAATTTCAAATCAAATCATCTTTTTTTGTGTGGTGGTGGGGATTAAAGGATTTTTTTCATGGAATCAAACTATTAACAGGTATTATCTATAATCACAAACTTTAACCTAATAGGATGGTGGTCCCACAAGTACTTTGCTGCCTTATGCATGATGGTTACAACAAGGCAGAGATGTTTGGCTGGTACTTTAGGTTGGCCCAGGAATTGAAAGATACAAGTTTTTTCAAGCATGTCATATAAAATAAGTGAAATCACAATGAAGATACACTTTTGTTAACAAAGACATGGTATTGCCCAGTAAAATAACCCCAGTTTAACTGCATGGCATGACATCTTAATAAAAAGGCACAGTTCATTTTCTAAAAATGTATATGGTTTAATGCTTAATAAACATCTGTAACAGCAGCATGCTCACAATCAGTACAGCACTATAGTAGCAAAATAATAATGTGAATGTTTGAGCAGTCATTTCAGACTGGGTAACAAATGAAAGCTTATTTTTTTCCTTAACTTCTGATTCATTAGCTAGTTAAATATTTTAAGCAAGTTATGCTTCATATGGCTTCAGCTTTGTAAATGGCATGCCTTTGCTCACCTCTGTAAAATTACTAGGGGGTTTTAAAGGTTAGCTATCAAGAAAGAAACAAACAGTTGTCTTGCTACACACATCAAAGCCATTTATGGCAAGTATCTTAAACAATGGCTTACTGCATGTTTTTGTGAGATAACTGCAAATGCCACCCCTGGTTTGTTCTTTTCTCCCCGATACTTGTTTCCATATTGCCTCTGAAAATTTGGGTTCCATGCAGCTGTCAAGGATAACGGTTAATAGATTTTTTTTAATTGAAGTAACTAATCTAAAACAGCAACAGGACATTTCAGTAGATTTGAACTGGCAAACAGCATTCAAAACAGCAGGAGTCTTACAAAGGAACACTGTGGCTCTATTCATTTAAAAGAGGTACGATATGTAAATATATAAATGTTAAATGTCATTGGATTTCATCACAGATGAGCAACTGCAGAGGGCCTAGTTCTTGTAAAATTGGATGGATATATATTACTTCCTTTAATCTGTAGGAAACTGATCTCATTTATAAATCACATATTTTGAATTTTTTCTTTTGAACTGTGGTGACATTTGACTATAAGTACCAATTGTCCTATTTACAACCATTTGTTTAGCAACCATTCAAAATTACAGTGGCATTGAAAAAAGTGACTTTTGACCAGTCCTCACTCTTACAACCATCATAGGATTCCCATAGTCAGGTGATTAAAATTCAAGCACCTGTAGCAGCCCTCACACTTTGGGACTCTTTGTTTCCACATAAGCTTCCTTCTTATGGTTTTCAGATCTTTAAAGTTAGTTGGATTTTACTAAGATTTCAGTTAGATCAGTGGTTCTCAACCTGTGGGTCGGGACCCCATTTGGGGTCGAATGACCATTTCACGGGGGTCGCCAAACCACGCTGTCCGCCATTTTTTTCCCTTTTCCCTAGCTGTCCTACTCCCTCTTATTGGTGGCCACACCCACTTGGGGGTCACCACAACATGGGGAACTGTATTATGGGGTCATGGCATTAGAAAGGTTGAGAACCACTGAGTTAGATTTATTAGCATCTATGTTGGGGACATCTATGTTAGAGGACAGGAAGCATCTATGTTAGAGGACAGGAAGACCTGGAGGAACGTTGTCCATGGGGTCACGATGGGTCGGACACGACTTCGCAATTAACAACAACAACATGTTGGGGGAAGATTTATTTATTATTTAATATACTACTAGTGAATTGATTACTACTCTTAATTTTTATGATACGTTTTGTGAGTTTTTGGTTTTACCTGCCCAGAACCTTTTGACTTTGGATGAGCAATAAATCTTTATAAATTTCAAATTATCTAAAATAACTTAATTATTACCATCAACACTATCATAATGAGTTTGAAATAATCATCATCTTTGAATTTATAACTAAGACATTTTCCATTAATTTTGATAGTGAATAAAGACATTTTGATTTCAGGTTATTTGCTCACTAAATACAAAGATTTTCTGATGATCCCTTATTTACATTGGATAAAGTAACAGATACAAAAAGGAGCTTCTTTTTCCAGTAAGCAAAACATTGACAAAGAAAGGAGACACAACTGCTTGGGAGGCCATAGAACAGGGGTGTCAAACTGCTGGCCTGTGGGCTGGTTGCACCCACCCCAGCTCCAGCAATGTGAAAAAGTCGCGATATGTTGTGACATGTTACTTGATGCAGCGAGTTTGACACCTGTGCCATAGAATGTATATGTTCAATATATGTTTTAATATACATTCAATTTACATTTAGTCCTTGCTTACCGACCATTTGTTCAACAAGCGTTGAAGTTATGATGATGTTGAAGGTATGGTACTTACACCTTGCAAGAGAGCTGTACATGATTTGGACCAGGCTGCATACAGCCTCAGGAGAAAGGCCCTTATGAAGGGCCAGGCTGAGTACGCCGTGTAAACACCAGGAGGAAGATGGCAAAAGTCACCTGGGGATGACAGAGAGGCAGGGAGAGTGGAGGGCAGGGTGAGTAGAACGCAGGGTGAGTGGAGGGCAGAGTGAGTAGAGCACAGGGTGAACAGAGTGCAGAATGGAAGGGTGAACAGAGCTCAGGGCTGGCAGAAGCAGCAGAGTGCAGGGTGACCAAAAGGGCAGAGATGGGACT